GGCAAGAGGCCCTTGATTAGCGAAGCCGATTGGCAGGAGCTGCCCTCCTCGGGCCAATGGGGTGCCGGTTGCCGTGAGGGCGGTTCCAGCCGTGGGAAGGACCCCGACATTCTGAAACGAACTAATGTGCAAAAGGGAAGGGATGCCGTCGAGGAACCTCAGATCAATGTACTCTTTGGCGAGGTCCAGTGCCAAAGGCACTCGTATCGCACGTACACCGTGGCTCCCCAGCACCTGCATCACTCCAAACTGCTTCCAACTAGTGCCCACGACCTGTTGGGGCTCCTAGTGGTGGTGCCTGGGGGCGGCTTTCTGGGAACAACGATTGTCAGGATCTGGACAAACGACCTTCTCTCTTTCGAAGCCCTCCTCGGACGAGGATGTGCGAGGCTGCTCTCTTCGCGCCGCGCTTGCATTTTGTCGGGTGCAGGGGTGGAAAGGACAGGGCAAACAGCCAAACAGGGGGGGAATACAAAGACACTTCTTTGCCCAGATGGTTAGATGTTCAACGCGCCCAGCGTTCAGCGTTGCATGACGAGCACTGGCCAGCGCGCACTCCCAGTTGCCAGCTTCACCTTCACCACCACGTTTGGGCTTGGACGTTGCTTCTGCGCTGTCTGCCGTTCATCCCGCCGGCTGACGGTCACGACTTGCCATCACCGCCCTTTCGAGGCCTGTTTCATCTTCGTGTCTATACTTGTTCTTTTCATTCATTCAATCATTCATTCATTCCATCTCTTCTCTGCACATCTTGCTGGGTCTCGAGCTCCTTGAAGCAGCACGACACCAGACGACAGCGACGTATCACGATTACCCGTCCATCCAGTCATCGGTCGGATTGACCCCGCTCCGCGATTCAATTCGAGACTGACTACTCTGTTGAGCCATCAAAACGAAGCAGCTGGTACTGTGAGATTGCTCCAACTAGGAGGGCCGGCCCTATTACATCCCTAGCATCAACCGTCTCGGCATGATCGTCGCCCGGATCGACCGCCTGTCATCAACACGTATCGTCGGCCGCTGATCACCTATTCCCCTTGTCAAGCCTGCGTCACCAACCCACACGCAGCCCAGCCGGCAGTCGTCTAATGTCTTGTTTCTTCCCCGCAAACCTAACCAACAAGAGGATTCTTTTCACCAACCGAGCCCCTCGCTCAGTCTGCTTCTCAACTCCCACCGCCTCGACCACAACAGCAGGTTGTACAACGTCTGAGTATCATGAGAGTTTCCCTTGACGGGATCACAGTGTCACTCCTTAACACCTTGACTGAACTTTTGCCCCCATACATTCCTTGACCCATATCATTCTACTTTGCACCCCTTTGAGGCCATCTGGATTGCTTCCTTGAGGCTGGGCTATCTATCTGAACGTGCGTTCAGACATCTCACGATATCTTGACATTTATCTCACTTGCCTTGGACCGACACGATGGCCATGAGAGACAAGATGCCGGCACCTCTGGATCTGAGCAGGTCCAAGATCTTCACTGGGTCCCCGCGCATGAACCTCAGACGAGCTGCCTCTTACAACAACGACAGGCATCATTACGACAAGGCGCCACTGTCTTCAACATCATCCCGCTTCAACTTCAATCACCTCCTCTTCACTTCGCCCCCGCCGTCACCCAGTCTGCCTGCCCTGGTGCCACGACCGCGAAGGTCACCTACACATCCTCGGCCAAGCCGGATGCTTCGCGGCCTCCTTTGGCTCACTTTCTTTCTACTCATTTTCTACTTCGCTACCATCACCATTCGAGGCAATGTTCCAATGGGCATCCCATACCTCACAAATGAGCAAGAATTCGAGATGATTGGGCAAGATGATCTACCCGACTTTGCCACCCCCATCATCGTTACAGACACGACCGGCAGATCAAAGTGGACCGTCTCGATCCCACCGGATTTCGAATTTCCACTGGGCGTGGAGGACTATGGAGAGATGGTCGGGAAGTGCCGTGAGGTAGCCAGCCGTGTAAGGGATATGCGGAACAAGAACCCGCCTCCGTTCCAGACTTCCTTGGGCGGGACAAGCCCCTCGGACAAGTACTTCATCGACGTTCCCGATGCCGAGAAGGCTGGTCTTCTTCCAGGACTGGCTGAGAAAACTGTTCAGGCCAGTCACATCATCGGAGAAACCGGGGAGTCCGTCGGAAAGAAGGCCGTTTGCGAGAGCACCATGACCTTTGTGCTCGAGACGGCAGACGCTGGCCTGGGCAACACTCTGATGGAACTTTGGCTGTTCTACGGACTTGCTCTCAAGCAGGGAAGGTCCTTCTTCATCGATGACTCACGATGGGCATATGGAAAGTACACCGACATCTTCCAACCCCCTCCCGTTCCAAACTGTCTTCCTCCTCCACGCCATCAGATGCTCCCTTGTCCGACACAGGCCCGGCACTTGGTAGTCACTTCGGCTACGGCCCGAAGCATGTGGGCGGACTCCATCAGCAAGCCCTATCCTAGGCAGGGAGGCCACGGCGATTCCTCCGTGCGAGAGCTCTACGACCTTGCAAGAGCTGGCTACGAAGCGCTGTTCAAGCTCAACACAGAAGATGCTAAATATGCAGAGGATCGAATGAATCTCTTGGCCCGGAAAACGCGGACACAGGGCTCCTCCCCCAACAACGGTATGGTCGTTGGCGTGCACGTCCGCCACGGCGACTGCCACCCCTTGGAGTACCAATACCGCAGCTCCTACATCCCTATCAACGCCTTTACGGACAAGGCGCGACACATCATAGAAGTCAGCTACCAGGGTGCTGGCAGGGGTGGTCAAGATGACGTCCCTGCCCAGGAGCATTCCCTCATTGTCATGGCCTCTGACGACCCCATGGTTTATGAATCGGACGAGTTCAGGGGTGCTCATCAGGCGCAGGACCGCATCCGCCTAGCCGGCAAGCAGGAGGTCCAGAAGGGCAACCCAAACCCTCGCGTCATGCACCACTTTGTGGACGATTCTTTTGGCTGGGAGGGTGGCTTCTTCGCACCCATGTTCTGGAGTCTAGGGCAGTCTGGCCAGAGCCCAGTCAACGGAGTTGCAGGGCAGACCAAGAAGCCGCAACCCACAGCAGATGCGGTTCGCCTGCGCAGCTACATAGGACGCGCGTACATGCTTGACCTCGCCGTGTTGTCGGGATCGAGCGACGTTGTCATTTGCACAGTGAGTGCCATGGGCTGTCGGCTGTTGGCAGTCATGATGGGGTGGGAGCGAGCCATGGAGAAAGATAATTGGGTCAATGTCGACGGAGATTATGGATGGACAGCCCTGTCGTGGTAGGCCGTGTGCTTTTTGAGCGGCGGTGTGGTCGGAAAATCATGCGCAGAAGTATACAGAGGTGGACAGTCGTCGATCTGTGACAGGCGTTGGGTGTCGTTAGTTCTTTGGGACTAGTTCTTTGGGACAGAGGAGAAAGCCCCCTGGCAGGTTGAACATGGTCGCCTGCGTCAAAGGGAGGCGGGTCATAGCCGGCGTCGGTCGTTACTAGTACCTTCACGGTACTTGGTTCATTACAATACCCATTATTTCACATTCAAGCCTGCGCGTCACTGCAGTACAGCTCCGGGATTCTTCGTCTCGAGGTCGGCGAAGCAGGACGTACAAGACACGTCATGTAGCTACACTTCATGCTCGACAGGTCGAGCGGAGGAGTCTATGCAAGGTAGGCGAGGACAGCTCGGTACCTTGGTTTGTCGTATTCGTTGTGATGTTCTTGGCATGGGGAGGTGAAGAGAGGCAGTCACGCTTTGACTTGTCCGGGATTAAGATACTGAGCCTCGAAGTCTTAGTTTGTCGTATTCGTATCAGCTCTCGGGGGACTTCAGGTACCCTGAGCAAGGTGCATATGTGTGGGGAGTAACGCGCAGCAGGATCGTCTGTAGAGGGGCGCAGCACGGCATCAGAGGGCGTCGTCACGGAAGACAACCTGAGTTGGTCGTATTCGTATCTCAAGGAGGTGCACAGAGGCGATTTGATGTTCACTGTTCTCTTGGATGACAGCGGCAATCCGCATGCCGGAGAGTTAGTGAAAGATGCTGGCAATAACCAGCCGCGATATGGCAGTCGTGAGGTACCCGGAGTTTACAAATGCTACCTGTACATGCTGGACGGCAATGCTGATGTCGAGCAGGGCGATGTTGGTTGGGACTGGCTAAAGACTACGGCCACAGGGCGGGATGACGCCTGGTTGGTATCACATGCCAGTCAGAAGTCAATCTTGCCCTCCCAGTGCACACACACCACGATCTGTAACTGCAGAGCGGTCATTGGCCGCCTGGCACCAACGTCAACAAGTGGCAAAGCTCAGGCCACTGGAAGGGACAATGAGATCGACTGCGCCTGGCAAGGGTCAATTCTGGGCAGCGCAGCCTCAGCAATGGGTCGGGGGCGGAACGGGCTACAAGATGGCACCGAAAAGAGTCGTGCTTCTTCTTCTGATTCGGGTGGTACGATGGCCTGCGGCGACACACATTGCTGGGAAAAGTCAGCAAATTTCCTAATGGGTTGATCAAGGAGAAAGTCGCAAGTTATCAGACGATGCGCAGACGGGACAAAGGCCCTGGCCGTGGACGATACGAATACGCTGGAGCCATGATTGGGCCACTGGAAGGGTTGACCGCCTTTGCCAGAATGGGGACCCTGGATTCTTGGATCGTTGAGGTGGAGCCCCCTGCTGTGGATGTTAGCGGCTGGTAATGGATGGGCTTTTGCGAATTGGCAGCGCCCCTGAACCCCCTTGCGCCTCGCGTGTGCGGTCCCTTCCACCACCCCCAAAAGGAAAAATATTGCCGATATAATTTAACCCGTCGCGCGCCCTCGAGACATACACCAACCCCACCGTCTCGCACCACCTCCTGATCCTATTGACGAGCCCATTGACGACGACGGCCACGATCCACGAATAGACGAGAAACGACAAAGTCCCGTCTGTCACGGCCACGGCGACCTCACCCCGCCGTTTCACCTATTCCTTCTTTCCTCCCTCAACAGACCCGCCAACACCATGGGTCTCCTTCAAGAGATCACCGGCCCTGCTGCGCAGCAGTTCCAGACCCTCGGCACCGCGTCGCAAGTCGGCGTCGTTGTCTTTGGCGTCGTGCTCCTCTCTGTCATCCTCCATGTCGCCAACCAGCTTCTGTTCAAGAACCCCAATGAGCCCCCCGTGGTCTTCAGCTGGTTCCCCTTCATTGGAAACACCATCACCTATGGCATGGACCCTCCCGCCTTCTTTGAGGCCAACAAGAAAAAGGTACGCCCCCAGTGTTTGAACCGTCGTGTGACGAACTTGAACTGACTCTGGACTCTCAGTACGGCGACGTCTTTACTTTTATTCTTCTCGGCAGCAAGACCACCGTCGCTGTCGGCCCTCAGGGCAACGACGTCATCCTCAACGGCAAGCAGCGCGACGTCAACGCCGAGGAGATCTACAGCGTCCTCACCACGCCCGTCTTTGGTCGCGATGTCGTTTACGACTGCCCCAACGCCAAGCTCATGGAGCAGAAGAAGGTTGGTGCCTGCTTATCATCCCCTGTTGCCCCTCGAACAGCAGCTGACACGCTCCCCTCAATTTCAGTTCATGAAGATCGCCTTGACCACTGAGGCCTTCCGCTCCTACGTCCCCATCATCTCCCATGAGGTCCAGAACTTCTTCAAGACGAGCAAGTACTTCAAGGAACAGTCTGGCGTCGTCAACATTCCCCCCCGGATGGCCGAAATTACCATCTTCACGGCCTCCCACGCCCTCCAGGGCTCCGAGATTCGCAACAAGTTCGACACGTCCCTCGCCGAGCTGTACCACGACCTCGACATGGGCTTCTCCGCCATCAACTTTGCTCTCCACTGGGCGCCCCTCCCCTGGAACCGCAAGCGTGACGCCGCCCAGAAGGCCGTGGCCCAGATCTTCATGGACACGATCAAGGACCGCCGCGAGTCTGGCCGCACCGATGGCCTCGACATGATCTCCCACCTCATGCGCTCCACGTACAAGAACGGCATCAACGTCCCCGACCACGAGATTGCTCACATGATGATCGCTCTCCTCATGGCCGGCCAGCATTCTTCCTCCTCCACCTCGTCCTGGATCATGGCCCGCCTCGCCCAGAACCCCTCCGTCATCGACGACCTCTACAAGGAGCAGGTCGAGGCCTTGGGTGCCGACCTCCCCCCTCTCACCTACGAAGACCTCTCCAAGCTGCCCCTCAACCAGGCCATCATCAAGGAGACGCTCCGCCTCCACGCGCCCATCCACTCCATTCTGCGCAAGGTCAAATCGCCCATGCCCGTCCCCGGCACTAAGTACGTCGTCCCCACGAGCCACAACCTCCTCTCGGCTCCCGGCACCTCGGCCACCGACCCGACATACTTCCCCAACCCCGCCATCTGGGACCCTACCGCTGGCTCCCCGACTCGCCCAATGAACCGACCTTTTTCG